TTGTTAATGTAATTTCTACAATCTTTCTCAACATATGTAATCTTCTCATAACCACCGGCATCAACTACGGCTGAGTTAAAACTCTTGTGTAATGGTATTCCAGCTATGTTATTTATTTCAAGCTGTCTTCTTGCGCGTGCACTTATTTCTCGATTGCATCGATATAGCCTTGATTTCGACGGACTTGTTCTGTGATTATGCTCCAAAATAAGAGTGTTAATACGCCATATGTCATTACAATCTTTCAATGCCGTCAATCTCGCCTTACAGCCCATTTGTATTGTTGGTTGAGGGTTTAGAATTGCATTAGTTCCACTTATTCGACGGCCCTCCCGACTACATGTAAAAGTTACGTAGCGTACAACCCCATCATCACCNCTTCTTCAGATGAGTTAATTTCCGAATAACCTGCATTCACGACAATGGAACAATTTTTAACTGGTTTGTACAAATCCAATAAGTTAAAATACATGTCTTTCATTCATGCAATCAGTCCAACCCCTTATAATGGCTACTGTCTAGCTGTAGGAAAATTTACAGTAAACAATTAGTCTTACAATGCCTACTGTCTAGCTCTTCTGGTAAACATTCAGTATAACAACCAGTCTTGAAATTTACAGTAAACAACCATCAATGTACTGCCTAGCTAGTTCACCACCCTTGCACCCCACCGCAACAACCATCAACACCTCTCTTTTTTTTTTTATGCACTAAACCTTTTTCATTGTAACTCAAGAACTCAAGACAAGCCCATGGAGAATTTATAAATCGAGATTGTTAAAAAAGAAATACCAAATGTGTCGTTTTGTATTAGATAACTTGCTAACATCTATTGAACCTAAATGAGTATTTCAATAGAGGCAAAATCACAAGCAAAATCATTCCCCTAGAAACATCGGGACGCCATGGACATAATTTTTGGTAGTGATAGATATGCCCAATTATCTTCATCAATCATGTCATAGTCCATCCTGATCAAAACAACAAACCTATAATCCCGACCTTAGAATAGAAGATTTTAACCTATGGTTTGGTTTTCTAACAAGTTCCCAAGATAAACTTGCTATATTGACTCCAGAAACAAGGTTTCTTGCTTGCTGGTCAAACCCAAATCGCTGAGAGTCGAGTTACGCTTTCCATCACTAAAAGCATGTCGAGGGTATGGCCTCACCAATCAGCACCTCCCATCTTCAAAATGTACTCCATCCCCATTTCCATCATTTCCAAATTCCAATCTTCAGATACTTCATTCAAACCAACCTCGTTTCTTTATTCTCACATTTATTCAACAAGTAGTCACTTTGTTCCTATTAACCACCCTTCACACCGCATTCCAATCCCCATGCTAAATTAAGAAATGGTAGAAACCTTTTTCGAGTTGTTAGCATGTGGTTGGCGTGGGAGTTTAAATTGAAAATTAAATTGAACCCATGTTGTCACTTTCTGGCTTAAATTGAAAAAAAAAAAAAACATCTTATCCATGTTGTTGCCGGCGTCGCAGTCGTCGGCGTGGGAGTTGTTGGCTTCTCCTTCATCTCCGTCTTCGTAACAGAGTGTCTTATCGTCAAACTCAAATGGGGGAACAATAACGGGTTCCCCGACGTGTGGTTGCTGTCGTCCAAATCGTCGGTGACGTGCTGCTCCATTTTCGCCAGGAGCTTTTTCAGAGCGGAGGAGGAGGAGACGATTGTAAAATGACGGGAGTTTCCTAAATTGGCGCCTTTTACTTGGGTTTTTTTTTATTGCTATGTTGAATAGTCAATGAGTAGCCACGTCACATGAAGTAACTCATGTAGTAGTCCATGGAGTACATGTAGCACTACTCTATTTTTAATTGGTCAAAGTATAGCTATTAAACCCGGATCCTGGTCCGATCCGATCAGCATAATTAAACAATTTTCAATAGGTTTTTTGAAAATTGATAAAATGGAGAATGAACAATTTCAAACAAAGGACCTAAAGTTTGCAAAAATCGTGCTTTTTTAATTGGGATACACCATTATTTGATATAATCATGCTTTCTTAAAACATATATATCTCATACGTAATTTTAGATTTCAAAAACACCTTTAATATTTTTTTGTATTTCAAAAATATGACAAACAAAATTTTAATTACAAATGAAAGTGGAAGACCAAGTAATATATATATAAGGAGAATCACAGTCACAATCCCAAACTTTTTATCTTGTCGCAGACTTTACTCGAACATTTATTTTACAATCATGCTACATTTATATTCTTCTTTACATTAAATTTGACATTCTTCCACATAGCATTCATCATAGTTATTGATTTTTACAACATCCTGTCACATAACTGGTCAAATTTTGACACATAAGGGGAATATTAACAACAATGTCAAGGAGAATGTACATATAACTTAATTCTTTAGCTTATATCACCCACGGTGCCAAATCTTAACAGTTAGTTGACCAAAATAGTGGATTTTAACATATTTTGATCAAATTTTAAAAAAGTTAAACTAGTAAATTTCGATTTTTCACAAAAAAAATACAATTATAATATAATTAAATCAAAAATATAAAAACACAAAACCAAAAGTTATCTTGTTTACCCCAACCCAACCCAAATCGAGGCTCCACCACTCACCGGCCATCGCCATCACCACCCGTTCGATGTCGACGCCACCGTGTCAAGGGTCAAAATGTCGAATTGGGTTGAACCGATTATAATTTATAATAAATAAATACACCACAATTTTTTATGAAAAATAAGTTAATTTTTTAATATATATAGTTAAAGTTTAATTTAGTTTTCATTATATCACTTTTAATCTCAACAAAAATGAGACGGTAGATATAGTTAAAGTTTCAACATATAACACTTTAGCCTCCATTTAGGTTTCATTTTTTTTTTTAATTAAAAACTGAAAAAATACTTTTTAAAGTCAAATTTTAATATTAAACAAACATTTCAAGAAAATAAATAATTTATTTTGGGGAACAAAATTTTTTATTCACCTTTTCAAATAAAAATATCAATTCATTTCTTATAGTATCCCGTAAGTTGTTAAAAGGCTTGAAGGTATTCAATTCAATTCATTTATAATTCCACATCGAAATCAGGGAAGAAATAAGCTATAAAATGGCCAGCAAATGGTAGGAAAATAATAAATTTTGAACCTTCAACTTTTTTAACATTGCGCCTTAGGAGTTTTTTAGTTAAAAATTTACTGTTCAAATTGGAGAAATCAGTGTCGAGTCACCAATTTGCGATTGGACCTCGCTTTTAAGTTTAAAGGGTTTTAAGTTGTAATCGAACCGACTTACTAGCCGGTTCAAGGATTTTTCAGTTGGACCGTGTTATAAAACAAACAAGATACCATAATAAATCTGATACCACTTGCTGTGATATAAATCACCGATTTGAGATGTTGAAGTTATATGATAAATAATAAAGTATTAAATCAAGCAAAAAAATAATAAAGACAAGAAATATGACAGAAGAATTAAGAGATTTTATTGACTCAATAATAATTGAGAAGATAAAAAATTATAATGGATCCTATAATTATAGTAATCTATGTTCTCACATCATAAAATTATATAAAATGACCTAGTATTTATGAGAAACATGTAGGGGATGTCCAAACCCTCTTGGTAGAGTTGTTGATGAAGTAGGATGCTAAAAAATCGAGTCCAAAACGAATTAGGAGAGAAAAAAGGCGAAAAACCCGAACAGAACAGGTGGCGACGTAACGCCAAGCAATCTGCCAAAAAAAATTTATTTATTTTTGCTCCAAGTTGTTTTCTTCATCCCAAACTCTTCTTCAAGTCCAATACTAATTTCCAACTCCCAATGGGTTTCCAAAATATAATTTCAACTTGACATATGCTCCAATAACATTCCAAACTTAAATTTTCCTTGATGTGCATTTCAATTAGAATTTTTCAAATATTTCAACAACAGAATTCTGGTCACTCCCAAATCCCAACAGACCGATTTATCGATCTGACTTGACAACATTGATAAAAATATATCATCTCTAATAACAATTTTGTTTAAATGGTCTATTGGTAGAGCACAAAATGAATTATTTGCCTATCATATTTTAAAATTTTAATAAATGTAAAAGTGCGTCAAAATATTTTTCTCGTATTTCAAAGCATGCAAGCAGAATATTTTGGCACAAAAAATCATTGGGAACGAAATGTGCTAATTAATGAAGCGTTGAAGATAAAAATTTGAGCAAAAAAAGTTAGAGTATCTCCAATAGTGGCGTAAAACTGGGTGTAAATCTATTCTCCAAAATTACTTTTGCATCCTCATCTACATCCCGATGGATCTAAATCAAAATTTTACTCTTATGATAAGATTTAAATTCACCTTTTGCCCTCCGTGGTTGTAAAAAAAAAGATGTTACATTTTCTGCCAAAAATGCAATTTGAATCTTTCTATTGAAGAGATTTTTTACCACTTTTAAGATCTAAATCTCTATTTTATACCATAATTGGAGATGTTTCTCACGCACATAAGTGTTACAATGGGCAAATGCTGTTGGTTTTTTCTTTTTTCACGCTTTTTTTTTTAAAAAAAAAACTTGACATCTTTTACTCAATAGAACTTGTGTAAATCGTAAAAAAAGACTTCTTTACTACGAAAATGGAATGTTAATTGAGGACGAGTTTGATAGCTTGCTCTAAATTTTCCTCGACTGTGTCACAAATAGGACACGGAAGCTAATCCCGACATAGTCGAGGAAGCTCGCAAATCCACACAATCAATCAACTGTGTACTAATCCAAACTAGTTTACAACATTCTTGCATATCCCGTGAGAATTATCATTAGCTACTAACGGTGAGTAATTGCCAACGGCTAGTTAATTGCACGTCTCACAAATCAAAAACACAAGAATCCAACCCCAACTGTCGGTGATTCTCACATTAAATCTTTCGTGCATGCAAACAATTCTCCACATTCTTTTTGTAATAAAAAATACAGCATATTTTCACCATTGTTGCAGATTTTCAGAATCCATGGAAGCTTTATGGAGTTTAGAAGATAAATTGAAGGTATCAACGCGAAAGGCTGTTGCATTATTTGCTTGCACTTCTTTTTTACTGATCGGTTTATGCACGGCGGTGGCTCTGAAGAGAAGGTGGAGTAGAAGGAAAGGAACTGTATATCAAGAACCGCATACAGAAGCCTCAATCACTACGACGTGGGCTGAGCCACCACGGCCGGGGTGCGGCTCGGTGAAGGAGGCATTAATGAGCTCGGTACGGTGGAACGGGGCGAGCAAGTGGGAAGTGCACTTGAATGGGAGTGGTAAAGAAGGGCCTACATCTTTGCTTGTGAGAGGAAATTGTGCAGGAGATTTTGGGTGGCAGAGTCATAATTCAACTTCACCTGTGTGGCAAAGGCCAATACTCATGGGTGAAAAGTGTGAGCTTCCAAGATTTAGTGGCGTTATACTGTATGATGAAAGAGGGAGGCCACTTGATCACCGTGATTGCGAAGAAGGAAGCATTGATAATCAGGTAATATAAAAATTCCCTAGTAGCTATCTTCGAATTACGCCAATGACATGTTTGGTATGTTCGACCGAGTCCTTGTTTGATTCCACTAAAAAAAAAGGATCATTATTCGAGTTAAAGTCAACAATTAATTTTAATCATACGTTTCATGTGATCCACAACTTTTTAACCATACATTTCATTAATTTGTATCAAAATATACTGAAACTCTGATTTTATGGGCTAAATATAAAAGAAAAATCAATCAAGAAAAGGATTGCTATCCTGTAAATTGTAATTACTGCTTTCGACCTTCAACTAACATCTTCTCTATTGTGGGGTCCAGGAGGAAAAGGTTGCAGATGTGAGAACTACACTGAGAGACTTGCTATGATTGTCCATTTGCTCTTGGTTGCTTATTTCTTACTGTTGGACTATGAGTTTTCCCTGTATTTTTGTAGAACTATGTAAACAACACGATTAAATATCTTCTAATGCGAGTTTTTGACTGTTTTAGCAGCACGACTGAGAATCGTCCTTCTAGTTTGGTCCATTTTAGTTTCAAGCATGGTCTAATCCTTCTTACCAAACTTGCACTTATAGTACCAGAATAAACCTAAATGTATGGTTCCTAAAACAATTCCATTTCGTCTGGAAACCTGCAGTGATGACAATCAGATATGAGTTAAGATATGAACAACTCTTTTCTTGAAATCCAAAATATGAAGCGGTTCTACTAAAGAAGTGTGAATACTTCCGGAAAAAAACTTGCATATACAAAGGCTAGTATGACATGTTTATAATTTTTTGTTAAAAGTCAAACATCATTTTTATCCACATATCTCGTGATATCCATAACTACTATCTACTTACCCACCATTTGTTTTTAGCTGTTTATAAACACTTTTAAAAAATTATAATAGGCCAATAACGGTTATTCTTTAAGTTAGTCCCAATGTCCATGCTACATCGGAAGTAAGGAGATCATCGTTTTTGTGAGACGTAGAATATACTTTCACTTGCCTAACGTAAAGTCAATGTCTTTCGTTGTTCAAGCAAAGGGTCCAGTTGAGCTTAAACATGAAGCTAATCATCAATTTGAGTTTCGAGTCAATGCCAACGATGAATTGGATGCAAAAGGGACGGAGGTTCATTTCATATCGTGAATAGATTATGACAATGAAATTGACTAGAATGTGGATGATTATTGGTAAGAGTTGAAGATAGGTCGAGATAAGAATGTAGATATTCCCATTAAATGTTAACAATATAGCTTTCATAATAGACGAGAAGAAATTCCCTTTACAAATGAGGACATTGCTACTTTGTCTTTCGTGAAGATTCTCCAGCGAGTATATGTGATGAAGATAAGATTGTGATTATTGTGAAAATATTTCTTAGAAGCAAGATGATTTCAGAAAACAAGAGGATGTTTATGAATTTGGTCCCACAAATGCGAATGAACAATGTTATTCATAGTCAGCGACTGTCTATAGTTATCATATGTGACATCTTGTTATTTGAGATGTTAACATATTACTATCTTGTCATCCATTAATACCTCAAATAACAAACTGCTACATAGAA